CGCTCTGCTGTACAGTAGGTTACAAGTGGGTCACTGTGATGGATGGGGTTAAATTTGAATTCAGTGATATAATATCGTTGTGCAAGAAAAACGATTCTGAGCGAAAACGGTCAGTCAGCCTATGATATTATTACGAAGCATATTAATTGATGATATTAAGGTGAATAAAGTTGCTTATAAATAACCTATTTACATAGAATCTTATTTTAAATTTTCAATCCTTAGGTATAAAAGTTGAATAATAATAATTTATATTTAAAATAATAATTTAAATTTTTTACCCAACAAATAAAATTTTATTGATATTTATAGAAAAAAAAACTAAAAATATTGAAAACTGACTATGTCCGTAAACAGCTCAAAAAGAGTCAAATTATTTTCAAAATTGTATGGTATATAGAAAATGCTAATATAAACATTCAGTGAAATTTTCAAGTATCTACAGTCATTAGTTTTTTAATTACAATAAAATAAGAAAATCGTTACATGAGAAATCGAGTGAAAATCGAGTAAATGTTAATGTTAATTCACGGCGCTTTTAAAAACTACTGAGAAATTTTTACTTTTGACCCCCTAAAGTACCAACTAGATTCACTTTCCTATCAGAAAAGATACTGTTGAAGAAAATCTAAACATTTTTACTGTCCTTAAAGATGATGATAGACACATAAAAAAAAATAAAAATAAAATAAAAGTAAAATAAAAAAAAACACACATCATTGTAAAATCAATACAATCATCGTTTTACTCAGAATCTAAAAGTTATTGACAGAGACTAATATTGAGAAACCATGACGTAAATTAACTTAGAATTGACTGTATTTTATTTAGTTGTATAATACTATAATAACATAATCAAGTAGGTAGCCAGGTAAATATTTTTATCAAATTTAAAATACTTAAATTATAATTTTAATTAATTATATAATGAAGTTTAGTAATAACTGCCATTTGGTATTGTCCGCATACTCCATATTAACACAAAACAATAAAAATTATTCAATTTAATTTAATTTGGTAATGCGTTTGTGAAATAAAATACAACTATATAAATATAGTTAACTATATAACTATAAATAAAAATAATTACAATTTAAAAATATTATTATATTTATTCATTCATTTAATATATTTTATAGTTATAAATAAAACCTGTATGCTTTTTAATTACTATTGACTGACATAATTCAATTTAAATTTAATATATCAATCGGCAAAAAGTTATAATAACTATATTGGAAAAAAATAGGTTTATTCATTTAATTTTAATGTATATACTATATATACATATTACATAATATTATTTAGAAATGTATAGTATAAAAATTAAACTTGGCAATGTAAATTTTGTGATATTAATGTTTAATAATATGAGTTTGCCTTATTACGTATTTAAAAGTATTTATGTACTATCCTCCATGTACCTATTATCGTTATAAAATAGCAAGTGAAAGTAGAGAAAAAATAGGTTTTTTTTTACAAACTTTTTATAATCCTTGTATTTTTGTAATATAATAGTAGGTACTTCATTTTTTTTTTTTTTGTTTTTTTGTTTATATTTTGGAGGAGTTTTGAACTCACCCTGAATTTGCCACTGCAATGGCAATAACAAGTTTATTGGAAAGTTCCTTTTTATATCGAATTTAATTTTTGTTAGAATAGAATCAAATAAAATGTTTTACATAATGTTTATATTTGTACAGTTTATAGTACAGTATAAAGTCTACACTCCATTACTATAGTCGTTACTCGTTATTATATCATGACATCATGTCATGTACCATAAAATAGATGGGTTGCGATTGGCGTTGTTCGTAAGTAACGATGAACTTTTCAAATGTGCTGGACGAGGAAAAGATATGTTCTATTGGTATAGGTACCTACACAACTTATTCCTGTGATAGGCGGTCCCTGACACCTGCAGACGTGTGTATATTAGGGTCATTTTTTTGAAATGTCCAATATAATATATAAATAAGATAGAATTCTCCTTTCAGGAAACACGACCGTCGCCATATTATGTCGTTTTTCTCCCTCTCGAATACAAATCACGTGAAACACATCAGTTGATGGAAAAAGAAAATCTCAAACACGCATTTGTGCACGTTTGGTCACAATAAACGTTTTTGTCTCTGTAAGGCCGTAAATGAAATATATTGTTGTGTGCATTACGAAGGCAGGTACTTTTTGAATGATATTCTTGAGTTAGTCGTACCAGAACAAAGTGTTATCCTTATACGATATGTATAAAAAAGTGTCGGGATGGTGTCCAGACTGTCGCCGCCGGCGGCGCAGAACGTAGACGGCTGTATTATTGATCGTCTGGTTTTTAGCCTGTTGCAGGGCGGCGGTGGAGGCTCCCGCCAAATTCAGTTTTATTGTCTGCATGTTTCTCTGTTGGCATACGTATAGTTATATTAAATATATATGATGACGATATAGGGGAATAAATTGAAAGGGTTGTAGGCCAATTCTGATGGTATATGATCTTATTGCACATCCACTGCCGCCGCCGTTGTCCGCCGCCTCTGCTGTTTAATTAATACTGAGTCGACAGGAAGCCTTATTATTAAAGAACATTTCCGTTTTTATTAGGTAGTTTTATTTGCAGATTGAATGTAAAATATGCAGACATAAAAAATAAATAATAACAGACAATTGATACAATGTAGGTTGAAAATGTTTTTAGATAAACCATTAAAACATTGTTCGCATAATATATAAATACTTAATAATGTTAATAAGAAACAATGTAATTTTAACTGTAACCATGATACACTTATAACTTTTAGGTAGGTACTCTATGAACAAAAATTAGAAAACGAAAACATGGTATATTGTTTTATTTAATATACACAATGTTAGATAAAATAGATAAAAGAAAATTCTCTTGGTTAAAAGAATGTTAATTTACAGTTAATAATAAATGTATTAAAAAAACTTTTATTTATTTTTCTGAGTCATCTATATTCTATTACTTACTACTAACTAGTGTTGTCTGAAACGTATTCACTGTTCTGCAAGGAAAAGATAATTCACATACCTATAATTATATACGTATATTAAATTTATTTTTTATTAAAAAGACGTATAATTTTCTTTAAATTGTTGAATATAGGTACCTAGTATAATGTTATATTATTGTGTTTAAATTATTCGTGATTTGTATTATAAATTTAATATAATTTATATATGAAGATACATATCAATATATGATGATCAAATTGTATAGCACTTATCTTAGCATAATGTTAATAACAACTTAAAATTACTGTCAGTTTCAGCTACGAATTAAATTCTTTAGAAAACTAAAAGTTGGGATGTTTTAACCGTATATGTAAGGTTGCATTCTTTATACTCGGTGGCTGAAAGTTTTTTTCATTCTTTCCTTTGCACAACCTCGTGTTTTTAGGAGCAGAAAACTCTTGTAAACTCATCAGATGGTCCCTCGGGCAAAACGTGATGTGAATACCAGTGACGTCTAGACGAATTAACTCTACCCGATGGTTGTGAGCTAGATTCTGCTGAACATTAGGCTTCGTGTAGTCCATCAAATTTCATTATGTCCAAAAGATTCAGTTTTGCAATTTTGAAAGATTTATGTTATAATAAAATATGTTTATATTTTTGTGTACAATAAACTTAAGTTAATGTTAGTATAAAAAATGATTTTATTTTTATCAATCATTTAAGCCTTTGGTATTATTAATTAAATACAATTTATTTATTTATTCGTATGACTTAATAATGAGCGCACTAACAAATTTTTTTCTTATCAAGGTTAAATTAAACTATAAATATTTATAACTAATATTCATAAACATTCTAAGGTACAAAGTACCATAACAAGCAAAATATAACTAATATCACATTGTATCACAGATTTAAGTTTAGATGTCTATATCCAAAGCCTCTAACCAGGCCACTGCATCAGGAGTCACTTTGAGGAAGTCCTCCAGGTCACCATCGTAACTTCTCAAATGACAATCCAGGATTAAGTGCTGCTTTGGTTGTATATTTGCGCCACAGTCGTATCCTGGACTCTCTCTGAACTTCCATTTGTACATGAGTTCGTTGCATCTGCCTTGCCTTTTCCGTATTCTGTTGAGTCTAACCCAAATTTTCCGGAGGAGGTCCATCCCTAAGACTGGAGTGCGTATGTTATCAACTTGGATCTACTTGGATACCTCTGGGTCTCTATCTCTGCCATTCGGCCTGCCACTCATCTGGAGTGTTAACACTCGACTCAGTGATGATTTGATAGCTCTTAACAAGAACGGATTTAAGCCTCGGGTTAAGAATTCCGTTTTTGTCTGGTATTTGTCAAATTTGTCCTTTTATTTTAGCACGCTGTTTTATCTCCTTATGTGGGGGGGTTCTATGTTGGCCAGGTAGGGTAGCCATTGTTTGTTTGTGCTCAAGACTTTGCCTGATATTGTGCGCATGGCCTTCCTTAGTTGGATATCTACTACCTATGTGTGGGCACTTCCTGCCCAAACTGGGGCGCAGTATTCTGCGGCCGAGTAGACCAGGGCTAAGGAAGAAGTCCGAAGGACGTTTGTAGCAGCTCCCCAGGTGGTGCCACCTAATTTGTTTATGAGGCCAATTCTAGTTTTCAGTTTTTCTGACACCTTGTGCAGGTGTGTCTTGAAAGTTATCTTCCGATCTAGTGTGATGCCAAGGTATACCGGTGTCTTTTCCTTTTTGATTTTTTCGCCGCAAAAATAGACTGATATTTCCTTGTTGGCTTCCCTGTTATTTAGATGGAATGTTTTTGCCATGGTTTTAGATGGGTTCGGCCTAAGCCTCCATTTCTGGAAAAATTGTTCCAACCTTAATAGATCTAATGATTAAATACAATACTTATTGCTTATTAACGTAATATTATATATTAAGACTTTTTTGTTAAAAATATATGCATAGTAAGTTGTAGGTAGATAATAAAAAATCGTATGGTTATTACTTATTACGTTTATATTACATTGATATAATTTTGTACGTACCTACCTAGAATATTAATTACATTTTACTAACATTAAATTAATTTAAACACTATTGTTTTTGTTGATAAGAATATCGATCAATACTTTGAAAAATAAAAGGTAAACAACATTGTTTAGCTATTTAAGTTGTCTTATGGTCGTGAGACAGTATGCTGGGCTCTGAAGGGATCTGGTCGCCATCTTTTTGTGCGACTAAAGTAAAGGAATAAGGGTGATATTTTTACGTGCTTTGAATTATAATTTTTCGGACCAACATTTTGTACTTTTATTACTTTTAAGTTGAGAAATAAAAAATACAGAGATATGACGGTACAATTTATATATGAGCTTATGATTTAAAGTATAAATGTGAAATTATTATAGATCATAATGATATTTTAATTTATATTCTTATATATATACAGACATATACCGATTATATATCCAACTATAAAGCTACAAACATGTTCAACTGCAGTGTCACACTCATATCCACACATACACAATTATACACTCACATAAACATTTGAAGTGTATGAATAAATAATATATAATAATAATAATTGTATAATACTATAATATAATATAATATAATATAAATGTAATGATAAGTGTTGCGGCAAACTTTGTCCTTTTAGCTTGTATGGGGAAGGAGACTAGGAGGACCGTTTATATACCACGAAGGCACGGAAGGTCTATACCGGGCACTTGTGTAACGTACGTATATTAATGTCAGGCGACTGTGTAAGACAAACATTTGGTGAAACCAAGTTACGCGCCTATAGCAGGGAGGGGATTGGCGAGGCGACACCCAGACGGTGGTTGTTGTTCACGCGACCGGCGAACAAGTCGGGACATGTATATAATATAATACATATATATATATTATAGTGGTGTAGTATCTTCGGCTTCCGGAACGTCTTTGCATGTTACTGGAGGTTAGGTCAGGCGGCGCGAGAGCGGCAGAGGCCCCGGTGGAGACACGGCGCGTTCGTTAGTTTGTAATGAGTTTTGCCAGCCGACAAAATTAAACCTCCCCTCAGCCCCTCAACGGGATCATCATACACACCCTCTGGTCTGTAGATATTTCGTCCCCACTCTCCGGACATCCCCAGTACAATAACTCCACGAGCGTGTGTGCTATTCGCCGTCGCTTCAATTCCGCATATTACGTCCTCGGGCAATTTAGTCGCTGCTAAATGTAATGTGGTTTTCAAATTGATTTATTTTCTTAAAGACCCTGTGGAAATCTATACGAAAGTGTCCGCAATGTATGTGTGTGCGTGTGTGAGTGTGTATATGTTTGAAGAAAAATTCACCGTTTATTTGACCGAGAAAACATTTCTATTGAATTATATATATATTTATGCCCTGTTATTATTTTTAAAGTCGGGGAAGAGTTCTGTATTATTTGTTGTTATTTTTGTTTCTTGTAAACCAAAATTCAATAGTAATAAATAATTTACAGTAAGTTTTCCCTCGTACTATCCATTAAATATATAACTGCATAATAATATATTGAATCTATAACATATATATAGTATCACGTGTTTGATTTGTCGTAACTGCATTACAATTTATTTTCTCATTTTAATTTTTTTCTATAATATTTTTATTTCACTAATTTGTCCATTCTTAGTCTAATGTTGTAATACTTGTTGATGTTATAAGACTTGAGTTATTGAAAAATAAATGTGTTGTAATTGGATTAAATTCAAAAGTTCAACTGTTTAATTTATAGTATAAAAATGCAGCTTTAACGTTTCTTCCATTAAGTATAATATAATTTAACTACCTATATAATTTTGATCTTAGTTTCTATTGTCTAATAAAAATTCGTTTTTAAATTTATTTAATTAGGGATAAGATAATTTTTATAATATTGAGAGTTCTATTCTTGCTTAAATATTATGCAAATAGTAAAATAATAAAAATGAATATTACAATATTGAACATTTAGATACTTATGATATTATACTTATACTTCAATACTTTAATTAGCACAAATACAGTTAAGAGGACGTGATACCCGCAAGTATTGTCTCCGTCTTACAAGTGCGTAACATAGCAAATTATACGCAAGCAGAACACGTGTAGCTCCGTTAGCTTAAAAACTGGAGTGAATTGATCTCTTATAAAATATAAAAGTAAGATTATTATCTAGACAACCTCATGGGCTTTTTATTATATTTTAATTTTAAAGCGAGTTATGAGTAGGTATTTTAAAATTGTAAATTGTTTGTACATTTTAAAGTAGGTACTCATAATTCTCGTATAATTTGCTATGTTATGCACTTGTAAGACGGAGACAACACATGAGGGTATCACGTCACCTTAATAAGTTGATTATTTGACAGATCTAACAGCAGTGATTTTAGGGTTTATTGAACATGCATTAAACTTAAATCACGAAATCCTATATATATTATTTATTGGAGTCTACCTCAAATATTTCAGTAAATTCTTTAACTTAAATTGAGATTCGATTAAACTTTTAGGTAGATATTAGCGGAATGGAATTTGCTGTTTTTTTTTATTAAACGTGTCGGGTGTATAACGAAAATATCTAACCGAAAACATAAAACCTTTAAAAGCATTTCAGATATTTCGTGGTGTGGACCGTAGCTAAATTAGAAACTGTTTTCCACTAAAATAATGTTCAATCTGTAAACACACACACAGCCAAAAAAAAAAAACATAAATAGTTTTTCAATTGGTGTTCTCTAAAGTATTATAAATTATTAATTAGGTATTACTTACCTACAATGTAAATATTTGATACTTTGTATCAGTATCAATGACGATGTATTGTAATTTATTATAACACTCAAAATGTATCAATTTGAAGGAAAATTCAATAGTTAATTAAAGTGATTCCATATCCATTCCAATTAATCCATTCCATTCCAGAAGTTCAATTACAGTTTCTGTTTTTTTGCAATATTATTTATATTTTCATATTCAATTGCTATCATGGATATTTTGTTTTTATTCTTATATAAATCTCTACTAGGTTTTGTCGTCAACAATACTGACAACGGTCGGAAATATGTCAACGGAAAAGGCCACGGCATAAACAAGTATTATAAATCCACTCACAGAAAAAAGCAAAGCTGATGGAATAAAAGCAGCCCGCGGTATTTACCGTGCTTGATCCTAATCGGATTCAGTTTAATGTTATGCATAGAAGCTTCTTCGATGTCCCTTGGGACCATCTGAAGCTCACTGTGCATATGTACATTAGTTTAAAAATATCAAACATAATATTATATTTCATAATTTTGGTGGTTAGCTGTTTAAAATTTAATTTATCGTATATTAATATTGTTCTATCCATTTTTTAATTACTATTAAATAAAACTTCAACAAAGAATATCCCGAAATTCAATGGCCTTTCCTGCTTTTTTATACAGCTAAATGTAACAAAATTGAATGTTTTCAATAAAATATAAATTAATGAAAAATACAAAAATATATATCAAATGTGCATGTACAATATGGAATTATAAACAGTGTACGTTGTATATTTTGTACGATAGTAATATTATACATTTGAGATGTGATTATTCTATGATTACATTTACTTAGGTCAAATACTTTTTCGTATGCTCTAATTTATTACTCAAATGAATAATTAAACATAAGATTCTTATTCAATTTCTTTAGGTAATATAAATTATATTTATTAGATATGTAAGAATATTGCATATCCTAAGTAATTTTGATGTCAATCTTTGTATACAATATTTATTTGTTTTGTTTTTTTTTTGCATATCAGGTTGTACTAAAATATTATACTTTTATTTATGAAACCAACGATAATCCTTATAACCACATTTCAACGAAATATATTGCGCTATTTAAATTTTTTATACTTAAGGTCTGTGATGAAACGTGCGATGTTGTAGAATAAAGCCTTTGATAATAACCTTTAATATGCTTAGAGCTGCACGCTTGGACCCACGTTGTACACGAAAAGCATTGGAGCGAACTTGAGAGTTTTTTTCGTCCTCCTCGTCCCCTAAACATAGTTAATATTATCAGCTTAATATAATCTCAATTTTTCCTGCCCTCCACGTGGACCGTTGATTAACCCCTCGCGTAAAAATGTAGTCGACCCTCCAATATTATTATTAACTCATAAAAAGGGTATGTATGTATATGCATGCACGTCAAATCCACCGGCTCTTTTCCGTATAATATTGACGAGCTATAGGCCTGTGATGTATATTTTCCTGGTTTATGGCGGTGTTGGCGGGGGGGGGGGGGTTCAGTGGCGGGGGAAGATGACACAGTGGACATTGCGGGGCGGTAGTTCAAAAACGCCGCTGCACAGCCACCGGCGGCCAAGTGAAAAATCGATAATATAGCGCACCAGTATTATATGCAAGCCACGACGGCTGCACCGTTGCGACGGCTGTTGTTCGTCTAGATAATAATACGTCCTACAGCCTATACCAACAAGCACACTAACGTTATGAAAAAATAATATAATATGTAGCCATAATAGGTATTAATGTAGATATTATAATAATTACAATATAAACATAATATTGTATGATTGCAACGTTGCAAAATACACAAGTGGTGTACTCGTATAGTATTTTTAATGCTTATGAGATAATATGAATAAAAAAAATAAATAAAAAAAGACCAGTTATTATTTTTTTAAATAATTTCATAATTTTTAAACACGCAGTTGTACCAATTATGGAATAAACTTGATTTTTTTTAAATAGTAACAACTATTATTAATGAATTGTGTTCTGGTTGTATTTCTTTTTATAAACATTTTTATGGTGGAATCACCAATTTTGTTTCACTACTTCATGAACTACGGCCCTATAAATTTCAGTACATTCATTAATTGTTTTAATTTTAATACCTAATTACAAAACAATTTAACACATTTAATAAACTAGAACTAAATATTTTAAATAAAATTTCATATTTCTGTAAAAACTTAAATTGGAAATAAATAAAAACATTTCCTGAATTCTTGAATGTATCCTCACGAAATAGTTTGTCCACATAGTTAATTAATTTTAATTTTAACAAAATTAAACTTAATTGAGTAGCTGAGGTAATATAATAGTTCTCAATTATATTTTGATAACATTGGAAATACGTAATTAACATAATTTACATATACCATTATAACTAACAATACCTATATAAAACATCTAAAAAAATATTGAATGACAATCATAAACAATGGAAAATAACAATTGAGAAATAATTTAAATTGTTTAATTTAACACCATAATATACGGAATTTTACTAGGTATATAGTTTAAAACAATCTGTATAAAGGTATATTACTGAGACAGTGTATAAAATATAATCAAAAGGATGCAATATCGAAAACATAACACAGAAAAGTACATTAATTTATGTTTAAGTATAGGCAGTAGGCAAGTGGCCAAAAAACCAAAATAAATTATTAAGCTGGTGTAGCAGTTTGTACATGGGGTGCAGATTATGTCCACACATACCAATAATAATAACAATAGTAACAAAATGCATGGCGGTCACGCCAAAAAATAGGAAAATTAAGATAAAAAGGAAACGCGAGCCGTCCTGTTGACAGGCGCCGTGCGTCTGGGTTGCGGCTGTCCAAGTACATACGCACGCAACCGGTGGTTGACCATCTCTCATCGTCGGGCCCGTCTTAATGCACGTGCACGAGCAGTGAACAATGGTGAACATACAGTGCCGGAGTGCAGTACCAGTAGTGCCGTCTTGTCATCGAACAGCTCGGACTTTTATCACTTCGGCACGGGTGTCAGCTGGCAGCGGTCTGGTATTGTGCCTGCTTGCCGTGTTGGAATCGTTGAACGATGTGCGAAATGGTTTGGGTTTGATGACGGGATGTGCCAGTGGGTTCGTGTACCTAAGTCGCACCCATCTACCGGCCACTAAGTTTGGGACGCAACCGGCAGCGTCGTCAACGTATCGGCGTTCATCAGCTGCGGCTTGTACACGGTGTCGTATCGCCGTCCGAGTTTGACAGAACTGGGCACAGTTCCGAGTACCACTTGACGATGACGAACGTCGGGTCTGGTCTGGGCGTCACTCTTTCGTCGGGATAGTCTTGATGTTGGTGGTCCTGGACGTTTTGAATGTGTGTTATCGGATGAGTAACGTAATTCCGCACAGGCTGTCCTGCTGGCCGTGGGACACTTTATTATCGGCGACCGGGTGATTGATGCCCAGCTGGGCCAACCCGTGGTCGGCCGACCCAACATCGTACACTATCAGGAACTGCGGCTGCAGGCCACCATCAGAAAATGTATCCCGGTCACCTGAAGACCACGCATGCAGTGACATGTAAATGTTGGGTAAACGCTTTACGCTATGACCGTGATGAACAGGCTGTCCCAGTGTATGAGTTGGTCTGCTCCATAATTAATCCGTTCTGGTACGGGCCATCGATAGAACACGGTGGCCAGCTGCGTCCATCACGCGACCACAAACACAAACAGGTAACCGCCACATGTGTAATACTCGATCCGGGTTACACGTCTATAATATAATATGTGCATGCCTAGCGGAGGTGGCCCACTGATCTTATAGTGGCCAATGGCCACCAAGTGCCACCGACGGTTGCCCCACACGTACACCGTGGCCAGACAGTCCGGCCAGTACCTACGGGTGGTCCTTGGACGTTCGATATCTGGTCGCCGCCAACCGATCATTGGTGATGGCCTTGTGGCACGTCTTTGACCACCTGCTGCTGTTGGCCATTACCACGTCTGCAGCTGTAATACTGCGATCAGTGCGATCAATCGTAACGTGATTTCCCTGTTGTAAATGCTCGAAAAACCATAATAATATTACAGTTCAACCATCAAATGTATAATATGTACTGTTATGACGTATATGCCATCAAGCGCGCCAATGTTCATCGAATTCGTTTATTGCGGGCCGCAACCCTGGGCGCCTAAACGATATTAATACACCACGTTGAATTAAACATTTATTAAGAATTAATGGTCAAGTCCCTCTATAATATAGTAGTAGATGTGTATATCTCTTATTCTACTCGGTTATAACAGTCAAATAGAATGTCTATTTTGTATTTTTGCAACTATATATTATATACGACCTACCTATATTGACTATACCTAAAAGTTTGTTTAAATACATGTTGGTATATTACTGTAAGATTGAAATTTGTTTGGCTGTCAGATAATTATAGATGACGTGTCGTATTATTTCGACTTAAACGATCAGAACTGAATGTTTGAATGAAAATGATTTACTTGATTTTATGTGATAGTACCTACCGATGTTAGAATTAAGCTGTTGAATTGCTAAGGTGTATAATTGAAATTTATAATTATTTTAATTAAAACTATTAATTAATTATTTAAACTTAGAAGACTTAGGGCCGTTCTTTCAATGTTTGACTAAAGTTCACCTACACTTATCCGGCCGAATTCTGCCGGTAATAAAATTTGTTATCAGTCGGTTAGCGTTAACCGACACTTTACCGGCATTGTAAGAACGGCTCCAAGGTAAGTCGATATTAGTTGGTTATATGACTACGTGATTAAACAATTATTATTAAAAATATGGCGGTTAAAAAAAACACATATTTTAATTTAATCGAAATTCCATATTATCAATAAATACATAATTATTAAAATAAAAAATGCCCTGCATAGGTCGTCGCATGTATGCCAACAAGTCTTTAACGACGAAACGTAGATTGTAGTAAAATATAAATCATATTATATAATTGCATATTTATATTACATCCTCCTCTTGTAAATACCACGATGACGTATGGAAAAATACTTCATCTCGGCTATGGAAAACGTTCTTGTCGGCTTATACATTTATTGGGTCGTGTCCCATTTCCAGAACTCCTTAATGAAGGGTTGTTGATCGCGTGAATAGCCAATGATTTCGTTATTATTACTATACGATAGAGATATTATAATATAATGACGAGCAGGACGATGCGAATAGAAAACGAATCACCTAGGGTGCATCAACCCTCAGTCACCCAGACATATATTTTGTATGAGCTCATCATATTATATTATGTTGTATATTTAATTATAATATGTATGATGGTTATGTAGTCTTTATGTACGTCGATGATGTGTGGAATATTTTTTAGTTTTTACAGCCTTATACATTATAAACGATTTTATGAGATATCTGATATTCTGATCGAATTGCATTATTGCATTTTATACAATTTTATACATTGTCTGGAATGTTCCTGGACAACTTTAAACATATGTACTAAGACTGGAATTTGTATTTCCGTGCATGCGTTACTATTTTGTCAACGGAAATAATAGCCTTCAGTATTTTCATATTAAATCTAGTCTTATTAGGATAATATTTTAAATTTTAATACTATTAGGTACCACATAAGTTCAGAAATATTACAACTGTTATAACTTTAAATTATTTAATTACGCTATATTATTTAATACTATTATCATAATATTCTCTAACATTTACATTATATTGTACCAACCAATAACATAATTAAGTTTCATATAATATAAAAGTAATCAATTTTGTGTAAGATTCATAAAAAAAAAATATGAGTTTTTACTTGTATAATTAAAAAAAAGGTCTAACTAATATATAATATACTTTTTACAACCATTATAAACTCTGTTTTGACCGGTCATTAGGTAAAGGTAGTATATAATTGAAAAATCAACGTGTACTTTGTAGTTTAAAGTGACATTTAAAATAATTTATGTTGTTAAATAATTTATATTTGCTTGTAACACATTTTCCTAGATTTATTTTTATATCGTGTTTCGTTACTAATTGCTTATTATGGTGGTAGACGTGTGGTTTTGTTAGTTGTTACCTAAGACTGTGTAAGTAAAATATTATGTTAAGTAAAACTTTGAATCTTATACCTAATTGAACATTTGATTTAAACAGTTTTTAAAATTTTTTATGGTTCTTTGTTAAAATCAATTTTTCTAAACGTGTTAAACGTGTTAATATATACACCTTTAAAATTAGTGTTTCTATTTTCCTTGTAAGTGTTAAGTTCACAATACACAATTATAAACATTGAAAGTTATATTTTCATAAGTTATAATGAGACAACCTAATTATATTTTTAGAGTAATTTAATTCATCAACTATATTTTTTAGAACAATAACATAATTTATTTATGATGCTATTAAATTTCGGCTCTAGTGTATATAATTACTTGTATTATATTTCTATAACTTATAGTATACTCTACAATCTTTAAATGATTGATACAATTGATGTTAAAACTATATTGATAAAACTCATATTATAATTTATATAGTACTTTATTAATTAGCATATTTGATTTTAAATATTGAATAATATGTTATAACAAATCGGTTATAAGTTATAACATGGGCATTTTGATATCAATAGTATTATTTATGATAAGTTTTATACTTTTATTAACTTAAAAATTTATAGTTTAATAATAAATTGTCACATGATATTATTTATATTAAACCTCTATATAATTATGTGTTTATTTATTGTTTGTTTTTTCAAAGTGTACAGCTACAAAAGTTTATAAACAATTTAAATTTAATTTTGTTGTGATGTGTCTACATATTATTATCGTGTAATATATTATAACCTGTCAAAAATTTTAAGAAGTTTAATATGAATAGATTAAAATATAATGTTTGACATTTATCTACTACTAAGGTATGTTCAACATCAACTATCAAGTATACTCGACTAATTAAATATTATTATATTGTAATATATATAATTTATTTGATCATCTATAAAATATTTTTGTGAAAGACTTTGGCAAAGAAAAAACTATAGCTTGATAATTAATAAAATATTTCTAAAAGTTACTATAGGTTACTAGGTAAAGTAACTAAAGTTACTAGGTAATTACTAATTATATAGGTAAAATGCAATAAAGATAAGAAAAATATTAGTGCGGTAGATACGACACGAATATATTTAAAAAAGTAATAGAACTAAGAATCAACATGGTTATAGCTTAGCTATATAAATTTATGTTTTTGAAATTTTATATTTATTCAAAAAAATTTTATTTAAAAATCAACTTTAGGATTGAATTGACTGAGAACTTGTGTTTCTATTATTCTGTAGATTTCTGCACGAACTATTGTAATATTATAAATATTAATATTTACGTCAATATTCCGCGTCTACGTTCGGGAGATGGAATGGGCTTCGTAGTTATACCCCCCCCCCCTCGTAGACAAACCATGTCGTCATTTCCAGTTCAAATGATGGCCGTGATTTATAGCTATGATGTAACGTAAATATAAAAAGGAGCATAAAAATGTCTATGCATAACTAAAATCCCTGCCGCAACGACGGCGGCGACGACGGTATATGCAAAAATAGAGGCTGTAGTCTGCTGCCATCACACTATACTTTTCACCGCCTGTCTTTACATATACGAGGGTAGGTATAGTAGTTGTACGGTTCCCTAGTGTGTCTGAGAAGTTATGAGTGGGCCCGAAACGATGACGTTTCACCAACAAACCCTGACAAGAATGTTTTATTGCCACGTTCCCCGCGCGCTTTTCCACTATCCCATTATCGAGAAGACTCACTCACACACACACACACACACGCACACACACACAATGATTTTCCGGGAAAACCGCTTTTTCCCGCCCCCGCAGCAACCATAATTGCTCGTAAACAACTCTTCCCGCTGCACCTGCCGTGATTTGTGTCGGTGGTCTAATTCTTCCTCGTTATGCTACCGGTTTTTTTATTTATTTGTTTGGTATTTTTTTTTTTTTTTTTTAGTTCCAGCTGGCATTGAGTTTTTCCTTTCTTATTGCCCACCATACAAAATGGAATTTTGTATACGTTTGTGTCGCGGGCGTAAAAGGGCCCTCACTAACAAGGTAGAGGAAGGAAATGGAAAATTAGAATCACATTTCATGTTTCTTCTTTCCCCCGAGTTTTGTAATAAATTGGATAAAACCGTTGTCTCGTTTTTGTTTTTGTTATTTTTTTTTTTTTTAACACATTTGCCATTTAAAGATGAAAAAATCTCTCATAATAATATTTTACATAACTATACTCATCTATAATAAAAATTATTTAAAAATAGTTGTTTGAACTATATTTATATTCATTACACATATTAACTTATACTTGTATTCACAATAGTCAATAACTTACTAAAGATTATTTTTTATTAAATTATTCTTATTCATTATAGGTACTGAATGGATATAAATATTATTAAAACGGTTTTTA